CCATCAATGTTGGAACCCAACATGAGAGTACTTTAGAAAAAGGAATAGGAGCACACACCTATAATCCTGTGACTCAGCCTGAAACCCAAGGTTTCTAAGTTGAAGGACAGCCTGTGCTACATAGAGGTTGCTGGCGAGGCTGGGCTACAAAGTAAAACCTCTTCTGTCCTCTACCTTGAAAAAAAGCGAAAGAAAAGAGAAGAGAGGAGAATACTGGGAAAGAACAGATGTGGAGAGATAGAAGGGGAAGGGGAGAGAGCAGCAGTGAGACACAGAGGAAAGACAGAACCACAGGGCTTCCCTCAAGCTCCACCATGACCATCCTCTCCAGAGGTCACCACATTCTTACTTCTATCATTTGTTGTCTACTTTTATTTAGTTTTTACTTCTATTATATAGTAGAGCTGGTGACCTGATTCAGGGCTTCAGGCCTGGCCCATGTATGACACTGAGTTATGCTGTGGGATAAAGCTCTTGAACACTGTAAAGAATTGTCACTGATATTGATTTAATAAAACACTGATTGCCAATAGCCAGATATGAAGTTTTTTTCGTTCTGTCTTTTTTGAGTGTAAATCTTACCTTCTAAGTTGAAAGCCAGTATAATCAAGCTTGGACCCAGCTCTCCAGGTAGATTCTATACTATAGCTGTACCTGATAAACAGCCCTCAATTGCTCTGGGGAATATGGCATTTAAATATTTAATTATTATAAAACTTTTCATAACAAAAAGAGACAGGCTGGCACCTAGCAGCAACACTCTACTTCCTCCAAAGAAGACAGAAGACAAATAGGCAGAGAACAATGTCCATCCACAATTTGCTTCAACTGCCAAGTGCTGACCACTGGGAAAAACTGCCTTTTATTTAAAGTGAGGATCTCCAGACGTGGACAAATAGCTGGAATCGACAACCTAGCTTCTCAGGTCAAGGTTGGCTTGTCTTCTTACAAATTTCTTACCCCACAGGATCTTCTGGAGCCTGACAGGCCCTGCACTAAATAGCAGAAGGCAAATACAACCTTCAGCAACCATGGAGGACCCTGAGGAGTAGCTCTAGGTGCCAACCAAGTAAGTTTTCTGTCATTTTTAAAACAATCACTCAAGTAAAACTTTATCCTTCTCAAACATCTCTGATGCAGTTTGACAGCTGAGATGTTTTGTCAGTTTAAAAGAACAGCCTCACCAAACACATTTCAGTAAAATACAAGTACAAGACCTGCAAGTTATAAAGATGTGAGGACAAATACAAGTTATCAAATTTCTCTCTCACCCACCTAAAACAAAAGTTTAAGGACCCAACTAAGTTCCAATTCCCTTTACGGAAATAACTTGGGATTTCACCCAGGGAGTGTTTTGCCTACAGAGTGTTTGGTCTAGGGCATGAGTCAAGAGCATGAGAGACAAATGGACCCCATGACTTTCAATTTCTATGTTAATGCAGTCCCTTTGTTCTACTCCTACCTTTTGAAATCAGGGGTATATCAACCAGTTGGAAATTAAACATGGGTGAATTTTCAGTACTCACTGAAATTTCCTCCAGATACTATCTTATGTGTTTCTGCATTTTATTATTTTTATTGGCATCTTTGTATTTTTGACTATATTTCTAAATTCCCACATTGCATATTTGATGGAGGAAGATCGTTGGCTAATAAAGAAACTGGCTTGGCCCATTTTATTGGTTAGAACATAGGTGGGAGGAGTAAACAGAATAGGATGCTGGGAGGAAGAGGAAGTGAGGTCAGACTCTGCTCTGCTCCCGAACAGACCCGACAGCTCTGCTCTCTGGAGCAGAGACGCCATGCTCAGCTCTCCCGGGTAGACTCGACAGCTCTGCTCTCTGGAGGAGAGACACCAGGCTCCGCTCTCCCAGGCAGCTCCGACCCAGGATGGACGGAGGCTAGAATCTTCCCGGTAAGTGCACCTTGGGGTGCTTACACACATTACTAGAAATGGGCTAGTCCAGATGCGAGAGTTAGCCAAGAGGAGGATAGATAGAAATGGGCCAAGCGGTGTTTAAATGAATACAGTTTGTGTGTTGTTATTTCGGGCATGAGCAAGCAGGTGGCTGGGGTGCTGGGGACGCAGCCCCGCCGCTCTTATTTCAACACATATTAAATGACACTGTAAGCTTGCATCACTAAGTTCAATGAATTCTTTACTTTAGAAGTAGCACAGTTTTTTAATAATATATTTTAGAATCATGCACTTAAAAGAATTTGTAATTTCTTATGGACCAATTAATGGTCAGTGATGGATTCATTTGGTGGATGATAGGCTATGCTTTCATTGTGAAGATGAAGACATAAAAAAATGTAAAGAATATAAAGTTATCAAGGAAAAATTCTCCTTTTCCAGGCAAAAGAAATTTGGTTGGTTTCCTCTCATGACTATTATCAATGAGATGAACTAACATGCAACACTTAAGAACAATACCTTGGCACTTGGTACCTTTACCTTATAATTTAGTTCATCAGTATCTTATGAATTTAAAAGAAAATTGTCCATTGCTTATTTAAAACATAACAGCAACTGAATTATTTAAAACATAACAGCAACTGAATAGAAAAAGTCTCCATTAGATACTTTACACAAGATGTACTTTTTATATTTGTAATTTTTATTTCAAAAATTTGATAATCCCACATATGTACACAATGCATTTCACCCATACTCCCTCCCCCACCTTTCTTGTTTCCCTTTCAACCCCTTCACACAACCCTCTGTACAAGTCTCCTTCCCACAGTCCTGTCTTTGTGTTCTCTCTTGTGACCCACAGAGTTTAACCAGGGCTCTCTGTGTGACCCTGGGTTTTAGATTTTTCACTGGAGTCTAGCTGGCTCTCCTGTGAGGATACATGTGAAATCAATGACTGCCTATCTATCAGAATCTACCCATAGCTATAGTTCAGCAGAATGGAGGATGGTCCTCTTGAGTCCCTCCCTGACCCTTACTTTGTGGATGAGGGACCCAGTCTTGTGCAGGTAGTTGTGGATGTTGTAGACAGACCATGGTTGCCAGGGCTGTGTGTGTCATCCCCATAATAAAGTATTCCCAGTCGTTCTTCTCATCTTAGGGTTCCTATAATCTGTATAGTCTTCCATACAGTTCTGAACATTAGAGAAGGTTTTAGTGCCCTGTTTAGGGTTAAACACTCAAGAGTCAGTACCTTGATCAGTCATTGCAACATCCACAGCTGTCTCGCCTGTGTGACAAAATGCCTCTTAGGTGGTGGCCATCTCAAAATGAGGGGCTCGTGCTTCCTGGAGCTTGGCCCCCCGGCGGTTCCCTGGCAGTCTGCTCGAGTTGAGGTGCCTGATTAGCCTCAACGACCTCGTTCACTTTGTTTCTGGTGATGGTTTTTTGCATTGACTCTGCTACCTTTTTCTTTTGTTTTATTTTTCTCTTGATAAAAACTTAATCTGTTCAAGGAACCAGGAAACATTCCCAACGGCTCCTTGAATACGGAGGAACTGATACGTCAGTTCCCTCCCTTGATTCGGGCCATTAATGTTATGATTAAGACTCTGGCTCTCTTTCTGGGGAAATTTACAGATACCCTAGAACAGAAAGAGCTCATGATAGGAGATTTGGTAGAAGATGGGCAAATTATGAAGGAAAATGTTTGGAATGGCATGAGTTACCATTTATGGAGAGGCTAGCCAGAAGGAGAAACCCCTGGTACATTTTAGATAGGAAAAAAAAGGCAAGCTATTCTTGATAACATGAAGCCAATATTGGAACAAACCCTGAGGGTGGAATCCTGAAGAATGGTGTTTGGGTTACCTTGGTTACCTTGAGGGCAGATATGATTTAGGGCCATGAGAAAGCACAGTTAATGGTGTGAGACGAATTTCAAAGAAAAGCGCTGCCCACCTGGCCCTGACCACAAGACTTGCTGAGAATAATCAATTGTCATAATCATTTTTATATGGAAACTTTTATGTCTGCCAACTTCCTTCTGTAATCTCTTAAAAGTGATGCTTAAATTTTAGTAAAGTTGCAACAGATTCAAATCTCATTAGAGTTGTGTCTGTCTGTCATTCGCCGAATCCTGGGTCCTCCTAAGCCTTCACCCCGTTCTCCCTCGGTCTTCGATCCCCAAGAGAGTCAGTCTGCGGCAGGTCATGAGTCTCTGCACTCACCACAGTGCAGTACAGGGGAATCTTTTCTGGGTAATGCTGGCTGTAGCCTGTGCCCATAAGTATAAGTAGAAAATATTTAGAAGACAGTTTGCAATCAAATCTCTTTAAACAATTATAGAAAATTTCCAACAAAGAACCTAAAATCCCACTTGCTGGTTTTTGGTTGGATTTACACAACAACAACAAAAAAATTTAAGTTTTCCTCCTATAGAGAGCAGCCTTCAGAGGTCAGGAACTGAAGGGACTCCACAGTGTCAGAGGACTAATCACTCCTTAGACTTTTCAGAAGTAAAACTGAATTCTCTGGGTCTAGTGATTGGGACAAAACTTAACACTTTGTGGACCGCAAGGAAGGGAAACACACACATCTCCAACATGTCAGTATCTCAGCGAGGGTGCTGCTGAATGGTAAAACTTCAGCAAGACAAAGAAACTAAGGAAATGCAGAGTATGCAAGCTGCTGAACAGATAAAGAGGCACACAAGGACTTTTCTGAGGGCCAAAGCTTAGTTCATTTTATTCTTCTTTCGGTTGTTTGTTCTACTCTATGTTTTTTTTCTTTTCTGTTCTTCTCCCCTGATGTTTTCCTTCTCTCTTTTCTAATGACTTCCTTCTCACTACTTCCTGATGTCTTCCTTCTCCTCTACTTCCTAATGACTTCCTTCTCCTCTTCTTCCTGATTACTTCCTTTTCCTCCACTTCCTGATGACTTTATTCTAGCTATTTTTCCCCTTACAGCTTATATAAACCAGCAGAATCTTTCAAACAATATAAAAATGAAAATGTGGTTACATTTTATTTTTAACAGAATGATTACAATGAATACAAGTAAGAAACATGATTCCCATTTCCCTTACATGATTAAACATTCTATGTATTACAGGTGAAAACTAAACAATCCCCAAGCACCCACATACAGTTAAATACTTATCTTTTAGACTTCTCATAGATCAGGAGCCTTTCAGTCGTAACTACTTACTTAGGCAGTAGTTTTTATAACTGTCTGAAAAAGAGGCTACTAGGTTCACCTTTCATATTTTATGGTCCTGTCCCATTATGACAATTAACCATAAATTCTTTGTTTTCTAGTTACATGAAGTCAATTGTTTACAGGTTTCTTTCAGTTTTGGTGCACACTGAAAACTGAGAACACATTTTCCAATATCAGAAAAAAAAATGAGGCAACTCCCAGGACTCAATTGTTTTCCTTAATCATTAACCTAAACAATAGTCTACATGGTTCCTAAGAGAAACTCTTAACTTTTAGTTTTATGACAATTCCTTGTTCCTATTTTCTATCCTCTCCAGTCCCTGCTGTATCAGGGCTGTGAACAACACTGTTTCCTACGTTTACCTATATTAATACTGTTATTCTTAAAAAAAACGATTATCGTGGTGGGTTGGCAGAGCCCGCCATGAGAGAGTGGCTACATGCGATTCCCCTGCTGGAGCCCTCCATGGGAAAGCAGCTACAGGAGGGCACGCTTCCTTGGCCCACGGTGGCGGCAGGTAACAGACACGTAAACACAGGAAATAGCCATAAGTATTTATTAAGGAAGAGGGAGAAAGAAAGACAGAGAAAAGAGATAAAAGGAGAGAGGAGAGATAAAAGAAGAGAGAGACAGAGAAAACGACGCGTGCGCACGCTAAGGAAGCAGAAAGAGAAGAGGGGGTCCCAAGATGGCGATGGGCGGGTCAGAGGTTATGGGAGTGGGCGTGGCTAGGGCAGGGACCAAAAGAATAACAAATACTAAACTAACCTCTTTCATAATCCCTTACTACATTTGATAAAAACCCATAATCATCAAAATTCTATTTGAACTACCACGATTATTGTAAAATCATTACTTTATTTACACAATACAGCTTATGAAGAAATAATCTTTATTATAATCCACTACTGCTTTGTGATTCATGGTATTTCCATGAGATAATCACAAAATATTAAAGACAAAGGAATCCCTTCACACCCATTTACACCATGACAAATACCAGAGAAAATGGCAGCAGCAAATATGTAAAGGCACAGCAGTAGCAAGAGACATTCTGGAGCCAAAGCCCTTAGGGCCTTGCCTATCCATGATCCACCCATCAGTGCCTTGAATTCTGGTGGGCCAAACTCCTGAAATTCAAGAACTACCTACTGCTCCTCAGACAAGGTCACCCATCAGTAAAGTTTTAATTTTTTTAAGGCCAGTTTAGTTCAATGAAAGTGCAAGACCGTTTTAAAAAATGTCTCATTTTTATAATAACTAATAACTCCAGAAAGTTACTTGAGAAGAAGATAATCGTTATACAACCTAAGACCACGTGATTCTTCCAGAAGCCCCATGATGAGAGGTCAATGCCCTGGATCATCAAGTATTCTTCTCCAGTGCATCTGTAATTCAACACACAGAAAAATAACATCAAAGCTTATTCAGTACATTCACTGCTCCTTCCTTTCAAAAACTCAGTTTCAACACATCATTAAAAACTTCATCTTTATATTTAGTTGATAGTAGTACTGGTGTACTGACAATTTTGTAATATATTATGTCAATCTAAACTACTTGAATGAGGACCCTTTGTTAATTTCAAAAACCATCTGAAGAAGCACAGCTATCACATCTATTTAAAAGCAAAGAGGAAGTAGGCTTAGTAAACGTGGATGAGTTCAGAGAGTCACACTAATATCCAACTTTGTGGTCTTAACCGTGTCATTCATTTCTAAATCTACAGTGCCACTCTTTCCAAAGGACAAAGGCACAGATGGAGGACTTATTTCTCCCAAAGTAGAAAACCTCAGATTTTAATTACACCCATGGACACTTTAAGAGACCAAAGCTTTGTGTAATTCTGCTGACTCAGCACACAGTCAGAACACAGTGTCAATTTCTAGACTGAGGAACAGAGAAGAGTTTCTGAGAGGGGTCAGTCAACTGCTGTCAGCTCAAGTACTAAGAAAGCAGTGACAACTGCGGATGCTCAGCTGTGGAACATCCCCAGGAGCCCATGACTACAGACAGAGCCTGGGGAGCAGTTGCAACACAGCAGGATGCAGGGACCCAGACACAGTTTAGAAAAGCAGCTGCTGGTAAAAGTTCTGGATACAGTACAATACTGCCCGTGTATTCCTATTACTGTATGTATCAATCTCTGTGTGTCTCCATCCCTGTGTTTCTCCACATCTGTGTGTCTCCATCCCCACATGTCTACATCCTTGTGTTTCTTCACCTTGGTGTGTTTCCAATCCTGTGTGTCTCCACCTCTGTGTGTTTCCAATCCTGTGTGTCTCAATCTCTGTGTGTCTCCACCCCTGTGTGTTTCCATCCCTGTGTTTTTATCCTTGAGTGTCTCCATCCCTGTTTATCTCTATCTCTGTGTGTCTCCATCCATGTGTGTCTTCATCTCATGTGTCTCCATCTCTGTGTCTCCATTCCCTTGTATCTTGTAGAATTTAATATTTCCCAAATCCATGGAAAGGGCTGATTTCTCCTTCCTCTTGTGAAGACAATCCTTTTATGCATATGAGGCCTGTGCATGGCTCTCCTTGTTTTCACTTTACCCATCCAAGTCCTCATGACCAGAAACTGATTAGGAATTTGTAATACAAAGATACAAGACCACATCAGGAGAAAGGAGATGTGGGAAAAAAGATATTCTCAACACTTGTTTTCTTATCAGTAATTCAAATATAAATTCCCTATTATTTTGAACATCTGTGAAAGATTTAACATATCACCATATTCCTCTCTCATTTTATATCAATATCAAATAATGAGAATAATTATAGAAAGCAAAGGTATTTTCAAGATATTATACAAAAATGATATTTCTTTACAACATAGTGAAATGTATATTTTTTTCATTGCAGGACAAGCCTTCCGATAGGACATTTTGCACATACACACATACAGTCACACACAGTCTCTCTCTCTCTCTCTCTCTCTCTCTCTCTCTCTCTCTC